TTTTTTTCTTATTCGATCCCTGATAAATGTTTAAAAAACTACATTATTTTCTTTTCCACAAGCTGCAGTTGAATTAATGAGAAAGTACACAAATTAATTTTAACGAACGTATTGTCAGTGACAGTTTTTATTCTCATTCACATAAATAATAATTAAATAACCTATTAACAGAATAGAAAGCGTACAACAATGCCTCATTTATAAAATATTCTTTATATAATACAATATTTTTTAAACTTCCTTTTAATTATTTCAACATAATAGATGTTTATTACAAAGGCATGGATCATGAAAAACCTCCATTAAAAAAAGATAAATGTGAGCGAGTGAGTCTAAATTGATAAATTAATTAAAACATTAATCAGAAAAAGGGCTGTGAAGATAAAAACTAAAAATGTTGCGTTTGTACATACTGGTGAGCATATAGGTACGTCTTTAATGTGATTAAAATCAATATGCAAAAATTAGATAAAAAAAATTACGCTAATTTTTATTTCAAGTCAAGTAACACAAGTTTTAATTGATTGAAGCTAACATTTGATATATTTGCAGGAGTTGAATATTATGAACAATTATTTACCGCCAAAGACCTCGCTTTTAATGTAAATCTCATATTCTTAGTTGTTATTGTTGCATTGGATCGTGTTTCCTCAAATGTCAAGGAAAATAATAACTGAGAATAAAAACAAATTCATGTGGCGTCTGCATCCTCATTTGTTTTTTTTACTCGTAAAATTACTTTACTCGTAAAAATCTCGACAATCTCAACGGATCTAAATAATAGCATAGTCTGGAAGAACAAAGGCTAGTTACTTTTGTTTTTTAATTCCACGCAGACGAAGTCGCGATCGAAAGCTATCATAAAAATGTTAATGTAAAAAGTTTTTTGGATTAAACTAATTTAAGTAAATTAAGTCGTAAAAATCGATTTATTGAGTAACGATAAAAAGTAGTAAAATGTAAACATTAACTGGTACCAGTGAGCCAATACAGTCCATGCCAGGTGTGCGCTACTGTCCAACAATATTGACCAAATGTAAACCAAGCTTTAGAAGAGATGGATGGATGTTCGATAGATTTAGAAGACGAAAACTTGTTGCGTTTATTCCGTAAAATGAGAATAAGTACATGCGATTGATATTTTTTTTATTTCTACCTAATTAAATGGAAACCAATACGAACGTTTATTATATATTTCACGATTCATTAGGCAGTGATCGAGTTGCACCTTAGTGTTTACTATTTCTATTGAATAGATAAGGTCGTGACGTCGTGAGTTCAATAGCAACGTATTATGTTAGCGAAGCATGAAATAGTTCGTTGCGTAAGCTCGTTCGTGATCATAGGAGCATTGTAACATAGAAAATGTCACGACCTCGTGTACGAGGTACAATCAATACATACTATTCGGTCTGCTATACTTACAGAACTATTACTACTTCGTTCTTTGTTCTGAGGTCATGAGGTCATTATTATTATTGTGCCCCAGAACTTCGAAATTGAAAAAACCGATTTTTTAAAGGAACATGATATGAGATGGGTCACGAAAGTGTTACCTTGAGTTATTGAAGTTTACCGTCCTGCAGGATTTCTGAAATCTTTGGTTTTAATAGATTTTTATGGATGGGATTTATAAAGGCGTAATGAAATGTGAATAAATTATTACCACTCATGAAGGTTCTGTCTAGTCTAGTAATAAAATTAATATGTATATATACACTTATATACATTAATTTATATAAAAACATTTATTATAAATTATAATGTGATGTATATTTTCGTCGCATAATTTAATCTTGATAAAAGACCGGTACTTTAAGTCAGCCTTTCTTTTCGGTCGCGTCATAGCCCCTTTAGTTGATCGTCTATCTCTATTACACACTGGCAAATAGAGATATAGCGTTCTCTTTCCACAATCATGTTTTCCAGTTCGTGGCTGTCATTTCGAGAGGGCGCTTGTTACTGTGCTTTGTTAAGCTAAAGACATTAAATATTAATTAAACAAAGTAAGATATCAAGTGTAGTGTTTGTTTTAGTAGTATTTGGTATATTCAATCGTTATAGCTAGGTTATAAACGCCAGTAAATAGTACATGTATTTCTTATCATCGATTAATTAACGTCAACCAAGGGGTGTGGTGTTTTGTAATCATTAAAATTTATTTTTACTATTTTACTTAGTAATAAAAGGAGTACGGTTTCAAAGTGTAAGTGTTGTGTTTTTCCGTGGTTGCAGAAATCGTCGTCGACGAAAACTACCACAATGACAACTCCGGCTAAGCTGTATGGACGAGAATTATCTGCTTATGACGAAGTGGATGTCGACGAATTACTGGCGAAATTATCACAGGAAGAACTCACCATGCTCGCCAAGGAAGTAGATCCTGATGTGAGTACCTTTTAATAGTTATTTTCCTAACAAAAACCTTTTTCCCGATTCTCATAATCATACTATATCAATTTACTTTTTTTTACTATTTTTGTCCCTCTTCTACACGTTAATTGATTCTTTTTTTAGCTAAAGTTACATGACCTAAGAATTTTTTTTTACAACCTGATCAGTTTTCAATATTCCATGGAATAAACATCTAGTTAAAGATATTTTAAACTTCTTTTTTCACTTGAATGAAAAATATTAATTGCTTTTAAAAAAAAACACCTTTTCTTCAAAAATCTGAACAAAATAGCTTGAATCATTGAGTAAAGAGAAATCTATTATGTTGGAAACAATAGTTATCCTTATATAATAAACAATTAATTTATTCACTTGTATATGTGCATATAATGGGTGGAAATGTATATTTCCCCTTCACACTTCTATACAAACATTACCATAGACAATTAACAAAACAGCTGTGGAAACCAAAAATGTTATACAATTATTTAATATATACAAAAATGGCGACCTTTGGATTAACAAAATTAATTTAAATACATGAGAGATTTAATAATTAGAATTAATTTAGTAACAATTGGATATAATTGTGAGTTTTGTTGAAAAACTTAAATAAAATAGTGTATATTCACCCTTATTTATGTAGCCCACATACAAAGTGAAGGACACATATTAATTGCAAGATTAAGGCCAAAAAATTTTATACTTCCTACACAGATAATAAAACATTGTTTTAAGCATTGAATTTCTTTTTTTGTCTTTATTTTTAAATAAAAAAAAACCTGTACATTGTTTGGATGTTTTATAATTCAACAGGTTTTCTTATGTAGTGGTCATGATTCAAATTAATTTTAAAGTTTATTTCTTCTTATTATTTGCTTGACAAGTTTACTGCCACTGAACATGGCAATTTAATTCATATTAAAAAAAAATAGTTGCATATAACATGTTAAAGATAACATGCAATGTGATTTGGAAAACTACAACACTTCTGGAATAATTTTAAGTGCAATTATATCCATAGCAAACTCTTAACTTGACTTTCTGTCTGTTATCAGCTATCCATTATGATAATACTTCTGTTGCATGTTTGTTTATTGATAAACAACACTGACTAATTATTTAAACCATTCAATGATGTTGTATATTGTTATTTTCCTTCTGTTAACTATAATGATTGTACATTTTGAATGATCCTTTACTAAAGGGAAAATAAGGGCATGATTCAATCATTACAGTTTCTGGAATTAATTCATCTCCCCCTTTATCATATTTCTATGTGGTTGGCACAACATTATTTCATCCTTCACATAACTCTATCATCCGTCATCTTAGTCATCACTTCCTTCTTGATCATGTCACCTTTAATGCAATCCATCCATCTCTTTTTAGGTTTACTAACAAAAGATCTTCTTTCACATGTACTGAAAAAAAATTGTGGAAATATAGTTAAATCTGACTAATTCAAAATGAATAATATTCTTAAAATTTTCTACTTTCCAGGACAACTTTCTCCCTCCCTCACAGCGGAATAATTATGCATGTGAGAAGGACCCAACAGGCCCCCTGAACCGCAAGAAATTGATAGAACACATCAACAAACAGGCATTAGAGACACCCGACCGGCCTGAAGTTAAACCATATGTCGCTGGAGTTATACGTGGCAAGAAGGTAAAACCACACGTAATTTAACACCACAAAATTGCTTTGAGAATCAGTATTGTAGTCAATATCCCGCTACTCCTAGAACCAATAGCTGTAGAGCCCACCTTAACATCTTCGCACGAATAGATCGACTCGCCCGGTGAAACACCACGACCACACAGAAGACAGGCGTGAAGTGGGAGCAATTCCGGGTTTGATTGATGAGTGCGGTGCCGGAGGCCCAACTTTAGTCAATTTTCGTCGCACCCTTTTTCTTATGAGAAAAGAATGGGACTTGCATTTGACTGTGGGGGGATGCATAGGTAGGTGAAACATCCCCTTATGTGCCTCTCCTCTGTCACTTAAGGGTAGGCAACGCATTCGCTATTGCGAATGTCTATGGGCAACGTTCGCTTCGCCAGTTTGGCGGATTCAGGAGGCTGATTGCTTCTTTGCCACCTTATGATATTAAAAAAACCCTAATTGATTTAATTCGGTTAGCCTTGTGGTAGCTTTATGTTGTAAAAACAACTATATATCTACCTTTTAGTAGTAAACTGGTTGATATACTAATAATTGCTATATTCAGTAATGTTTTTGCTAAGTAAATATTGACTAATTCAGAAAAAACCACTGACTATTAAATGTTTTTGTTATTTTCGATTGTCCATAAAAATAGACTTTGTTGAATAAAATTCAGTACTCTTTAGTACATCTAGAAAAGTATTTTTATCTCAATGTTTACGTTGATTGTGAAAATATATATGATAAAAGATTAATTATCAAGTGTTAGACTTAAATTATCATATATGTGTAGAGATAAGATATACAGTGTTAAAAGTACAGTGGTTTCCATTGTATATGATAGTCCTAATTGCGCTAATTGCTAAGGAAAATTTAACAGACTGTCTTTGTAATGATGCAATCGTTTTATGACTAGCCTTGTATCTGAGTCAGAGCGTGGGATACGACGTTAAAAATTGTACATACGTTTACTATGAGACCTCTGATGAATTACGGCCGAATATTGAAACGAAACAATACAACTTCGGCTCGTAAGCACTACTTCTGATAGACATTTTAATGGATTTCAGAGTTTAAGCCAGTCTATCATTTTAGATGCTGTAACATTTAAATGTCTTTACAGTGTTCAGCTGTTAGTACTGCTGTTTTATAGTCTGGGAAATTATAACACAAAAGGAAACAGATTTTGGTTGCAAAATGACTATATATATTCCAAGCTTTAAAAAAATATTTAAAAACAGATGAAACCTGTTTTGTCTATATATTATTTTCAGTTTGCGCTCATAGTAGTATTTTTTTTTAAATTATCAATATTATAATAAAGGGTAAACACACACTTCTTTGTTGCCTAAAATGTCAGCATTTACAGCATACTTTTGAATAATTCTTTTGTCTAATTAAATGCCCTACACTTACGTCAGGCTTTAGGCTATATATTTTCACGCCATTAAACTTCAGTGGTAAATGTTTTGGATAAAAACTCTAATGTAGGAAAGAGACCATAAGTTGCTGCCAACATCAAGGAAGCAAGATTGCCAAGGTTTGTCATGTCATGTCATTTTGATATTTGCAATTGATAATTTGACAAACATCAATAATAATATAAGATTTTCATAATTTTATGCGGATGAAGCCGCTCGGGAATAGCTAGTAGTATATTACATAATGTTTTGTTGAGGATGATTTGTAAATTGCCTGTAATCAGTCCACAACTACAATGACTCTATAGGATGTGTTTATTTAGCTTTAATATATGTCCAAGGCTCTTTCAGTATGCAACGAATGTCACTATTTAATATTTTCCATTTAGTATATTATTGTGTAAAGTAAATATTTCATTTTTGATATTTATAACAAATGTATTGTATTTATTTTAAATTTATACGACTATAAGTATCAATGATAGAGAGGGAAGGGGAATAATTAAATTACTAGGGCTGCAGAAGAAACACGGAAACAACAGGAATTTTTTTCTCTTGTGTAAACCTTTGCTTATGATATTTAGCAGTTGCAGGCTATAATTGCCTTTTTTAATTATTTTTTAAACATGCTTATGTTGTACTTTCCAGTGGATCCCTCCGCCGCCTCCGGAGAAGGTGCGTGATGCTGAAGAGCAGATCACCATCGATCTTGGAGATGAATACGAACAGGCCCTCACTACTGCCACGCAGGAGGAGATCATTGATTTGGCTGGTAAGATACAAAACTATTGTTTTTATTAAAAACAATGTTTATTTTATAATTATTTTCTTTTATTATCATTTATACACTATTATACATAAAAATTAAAATTTTTGAATTTGTAGATCATATCTCATGTATTAATTCTTTCCTAGAGACTCCTATAGTAAACATTAACGAATTCTGTTTACAATTTCATTTATTTCCTTCAATTTCTTTGCTCAAATTAATAATAAATAATAGTTATCATGTGATTTTAAACTTTTTTTATTTTTATATTAATATTTGGATTTTTGTACATATTGAAAGGACTCAAAGATTACTGGGCCAATTTCAAAAATTCTTAAAAAACGATTTAAAAGCTACGATATCTGCGAGTAATATAGGCTATGTTTTGCACGCGGACGAGGTCGGGAGCAACAGCTAGTTAATAATAAGAATGTGTTCGATGTATTATTGCAGCTATCCTCGGCTTCCACTCTATGATGAACCAGGATCAGTATCACGCGTCGTTACTCAACAAAGGCCAGCCTGTTGGCCTCGGCTGGGACGGCATCACTAAAGCCACTAAGCCTAAAGTAAGTTAAACTATTAAAATGGAGAAACTTTACTAACTTGAAGTGTTTTTTTTAATTTTTTTAACAGGAATAAAGTTTATTAATTAATCCCCAAGATAGCAAGAAAACAATAAACACGGTAGAAAGTAGTAAGAATTCATGGAATTAAGTATACAATAAGAATACAACTGGACAACCAAAGAATTATTTTTTTATCTCCTACTAGTTTTAAGAAAAAAGCATATTAGTAAAACTTATGTCTATATGTTATAGTAAATAATGGATATTTTATGGTATTTCAGGTGTACCCTATGGACCCTCCCAACGACACGGACCCCGAGGAGACCATCAAGAGGGTACAGGAGAACGACCCCAAGCTCATCGATCTCAATTGGAATAATATTAAGGTATTTTAACTGCAGCTTACAACAATATTTAGTAACAATTTAGAGTAATCTACACTAATGTTATAAAGAGGAAAGATTTCTATTTTTGTATGTATTGAAATGTCTCAAAAACAACTGTGCCGATTTTAAAAATTCTTTCACTGTTAGAAAGGTATAATTCTTCTATGAGTAACATAGGTTTTTTGAAGTCGTGAATATCTAGTGTTTAATATATTGGAGTAATCCAGTAAATGTTTAACTACTTGGGTAACAGATAAGCATTTTAGATGCTCAGTGGCGCCATCTGATCGGAATGATAGGAATAAATATTAATTAGCTTTCACCCACGACTCCTACCGCGTGGAAAAAAAAAACAAAATTAAGTAGCCTATGTGTTCTTCCAGATTATCCTCTACATCTATACAAAATGTTATCGAAATCTGTTAAGTCTTTTAGGCTACAAACTCTAACAAACAACCATTCATCTAAACTTTCGTATTTATAATATTAATTAATAATTAATTACAGCGCCATCTTACGGTAAGCGCTACTAACTGAAGTAAGAGTGATGACGTAACTTCCAGAACATAAGCGAGGAGAAGTTCGAGAAGCTGTTCGAAGCTCTGAAGAGCAACACACACCTGGAGGTGCTGTGCCTGGTGAACGTGGG